CTTGCTTCTCCTCGCCTTTCTTTTAACTTTTTTGTTTGTTTGTTTGTTTTTTTGTGTTTTTTTGTTTTGGGTTGTTTTTTGTTGTTATTTTTTGTTTTGTTTTGTTTGTTGGAGGTCATTTTCTCAGGTCCTCTATTCCATGATACGCAGCGGACTGCAACATTTTCAGTTTGCTTCCTTTCTTTCTCTTATAGCCTTCCATATTTCTTCTTGAATCCATTCTTCTGGTGGTTTTGATCCATATAACCTTAAAACGATGTACTTATGTCCATTGTGTTTACCTGCTGTCCATCAGTAAGCTGGACAGGGCTATACTGTAAGTACACTAATTTTTGGTTGCTGCCAGTACTAGTAAGACAAAAAAGATCATTCGTCCCGAGGAGAAGTGCCTTTTGATAAGATGAAACTTCGATGGTACTTTCATGAAACTTTGATACAGCTTCGAAACAAAATACATGTACTTTACAAATACATGAAAAGACCAAATTTATGGTAGTTTGTTTGTTGTTGCTTTTTTTTAAACTTCAAACCCCAAAGTCCAACTCATACGGAATCAAAAGCCATACCCTCTTCCAGCTTGGGTGCATTCATTCATGCCGTCATGACTGTGTCCTGGAGGCCCGATCAATCATCCAGCCTACTAAAGTATCTAAATCGAGTCGACAGGGGCGTGAAATAAATACAGACAAATAACCTTAATTAAAACTATCTACCTATGTGTTTTCCCATCAGGCTGAGAAAGGAGCCAATCAAGACGAGGCCGGAGCTGCTAACGACCACAAGTCAAAGGCCAAGATGGACGTCGGTGACCTGCCCAAAGACCTGCAGCCTCAGGCGAGGGACATGGGCGACCTGATGAACCACAAGGAGGTCAGTGTCAGTTCGTGACCCTTTACAAAGTCATGGTGTTGATCATCTGTTCAAATGTGCTACGCTCAATGTTTTTTAATTGCAGTTTCTTAATCTGTGGTACTGGTCGCATCTGCTCAAGAAATATTGTGTCGAAATTCAAATTCTAAGTGTTAAAAAAAGGCAAGAAATGGTGATACAATTAACTATTTTTCTTAAGTATGAAAAAAAATTATTTCTCCTGAAAAGTTTAATTTTCTGGGCTCAGTACCTATAAACAGCTTGCCGGCGATATATTTCTGTACACGGATACCTTCCAGCACGGTTGAAATCCGCTCAAAATACTGCCCATAGCCTGCAGTCTCAGATCTCTGGCCACACATTTTGAGAGCCTCAAAATTCTTTAAACATAGATCTTTGGCATGCTCTACTGGAGCCATTATTTCATTGATCCCTGCAATGAATAATAACTGTTAGTTTTTTGTGCTTTTTGTGAAGGGTTTTTTTTTTGGGGGGGGGGGGGGATTGTTTTTGTGTTTTTTGTTTTGTTTTGTTTTGTTTTGTTTTCGTTATTATGCTTAGGGTTTGTTTATTGTTTGTTTGTTTATTTGTTTGTTTGTTTTGTTTGTTTATTTTGTTCTACTTCGTTATTATTTTGGAGTAAAGCATTTGCAGTCATCTAAGGGCCTGTACTGATGTATGCGGTGGAGCGGTTAGGCTTTGTTGCCACAAACAGAAAACCTGAGTTCGATTCCCTTGTGAGGAGTGAATTTCTATTGAGTATCCCAGTCTGTCTGCAGGGACGTTGTTTCCCTATCAGCCCGGGTTGGCCCAAACACTAACAGGCAGAGCCAAAGCCCGCCTTCTAGATACTCTAAATTGTGTCGATGGGAGCGTGAAAAAACAGCTGCATCTAAAAGAATGGCCAATGACTTTTAATTTTAGACCAATGTGTCATTTCATAAATTTAATGTCTTCAGCTCCGGAAAAGTTTTGGAAACAAATTCTTCAAAGACGAGAACGCCGCGGCCAAGAAAGACGTGTTCCACCACGATGGTGTGGACTGGGACCTGGAAGAGGAGATGAAGAAAAGAAGAGCTTCCTTTCAGAAAACAGTGATGAGCATGGAAGAAAAGGATGATGGCGAGTTTAAGGTAAGATTGTGTCCCATGCGTTCAAGTCCTTTTTTCATCATCATCATCATCATCATCATCATCATCATCATCATCATCATCATCATCATTGCAGGTAGCAGGGAATTAAAAAAGGGTTGAGACTTAGTAGATTTTTTCAAATTTAATACAGGTTCAACGTTTCGCCCTGTAAAGAGCTTCGTCAGGAACACGATACCCAAAAAACTAATGTAAAATCTAATGACTACATGCTGTATCAACAAAAGTGCGCGCCTACTCGTCATAATATCAGAAGGAGCGATCAAAACAAATCGGGAAAAACAAAGAAATTTGAAAGCTGTGGCAAGAAGTGGTATGGATATAAAATAGTATGTACGTCAAATCATATAGAATTGGATAGAGCTTGGTCGTCTTTAAAAAATATTATTATAAAGTTCGAACCTGTGATAAATCACAACAATGTTATGGTTATTACAGCTAGGTATACACAAAAACTGACAGATTATAACCATTACCAAAAGTGTAACAACAGCCCAGACAATTTACACAAATTGTAGGAGAAACGAGAAATGGAGATGCCTTCAGCTTTTAAGAACACATATAAAATTGGATAGAGCTTAGTCGTCTAAAAAGGTTATTATAAAGCTCGAGCTTGCGATAAAGCACAATAATGTATTGTTTTTCACATCGAAGCCAACACAAAAACTACTAGGTTGTAACTAATACTGAAAGTGGACCGACTGACCACACAATTTTTACAAACATTAGGTGGAATCAGGAACAAAGATGCTTTCAGCTTTTAAGAACACGTATAGACTTCGATAGAGCTTAGTCGTTGAAAAAATGTATGATATATACTACTCAAAACAAGTTAGGGACCACTACAGTTTTCACTGTAGTATGTTTGAGGCTGTGTGGCAAACAAATAGTAAGAAGTTAGGTGAGTGAGTTGATGTCATTGTAAGGAAGGGTCATCGTTGTTTACAATGATGAATAAATTTGACACTTGTCGTTTAATCTACGCTGCCTAGACAGGGTGAAAAGGGGCCCTATTTCTGTAAAATTGAACCTGTTTTTGGCAATCGCGCACGTGATTTTCAGTGAGTGGTATGGGTTGAAAACCAACTCAGAAAAATTCACGCTTCCTACAATAATGCCTGAGTGATTTTGACGGTGCTAGGGGTATTTATTACGGGCACATTAAGCGATTTTTAACAATGCTTCCAATAAGACGTCTGAGCATCATCGACAGGAAACGAGCTCTAGCCTGGCTCCACGAAGAGATTGAGGTCCGTGAAGTGGCATGACGGCTTGCTGTGATCATCAGATTGAGAGACCGGGTTGCTGCAGCTGGAACTGCTGTTGAGCTAAGGCGGTCCGGGTGGCCACGTTGCACAATACGACGAGAGGACCGGGTGATCGCCGGAACAGCCCTGGCAACTCGAACCTGCACTGCCCGTCACATAAGACAGCACGTGGTACCCCCAGGCAACGTTGGAATCAACGACCCGACCATTAGAAACGGGCTGCGTGAGATTGGTCTAGGCTCCAGACAACCAGCTGTCCGGGTTCCTCTGACACAGACCACCGGATAGCCCGCAGAACCTGGTCCGCCAAGCACCTGGGATGGACACGCCCACAGTGGTCTACTGTGCTCTTCACGGATGAGTCCAGGGTCACATTGTCCTTCAACGATGGCAGGATCCGTATTTGGAGGCGTCCTGGTGAGCGCTTTATCGACGACTGTGTACAGGAGCATAGCTGGTATGGAGGAGGCTCCGTTTTGGAGTGGGGTGAAATTGAACTCACCTACCAGACCCCGCTGCAGCGCATTCAAGGCACTCTGACGGGTATCCCCTACGGGGACGAGATTTTCCGCTCCCATTGCATTTCCAGCTCTTCTGGCAATGGGCCAGGGCGCGATACTCCAGGACGACATCGCCAGGCCTCACCGCGCTCGGGTGGTGGATGACTTCCTGCACCAGCAGCACGTGATCAGGCTTTACTGGCCAGCCCGATCACCGGACCTTAGTCCCATTGAACACCTGTGGGATGCTCTTGGGCGTCAAAAAAGAGACTACCAGCCACCCCCAAACAATATGGATGAATTCTTTAACATTTTGGAACAAGAATCGCAAGCCATTCCTCAACTGACATTGGGAACACTTAATCAGTCTATGAGACAAAGATGCAATGACTGGTTTCTTGCAAATGGTGGTCACATGCTATTTTGAGCCCTAATTGTTTATGACAGATGTGATGTGAATTTTACAAACATGGGTTAACTCCTTCAACATCTGAAATTATCCATCTTCAATTTTTTAAATGAGCAAGCTGTCATTTGCAAAAGGTGATATCATGATTGAAGACCCCTCTCAAACAATTTTGAACCGTGTCATGTTTTTCAGTTTGAACTACTATGTGTGACTTTAAGTGATCGATAACTGTTATTGAGTAGTAAAGGTTGAACCTATGGTAAAACCCAGCATTGCATTGTTTGTAATAACGAAGCATACACAAACACTAGTAGATTATAACCACTTCTAAAAGTGTAACCACGGATCACACTATTTGTGCCAATAGTAGATGGAATCATAAACAAAGATAATTTTACCTTTTTAAAACAAAAGTGTGCTTTTATACAGACTAATCGCGGGAAAAAAATCAATGAAAAAGCTTGAACCTGTCATAAAACACAACTATGTATTGGTTGTTACAACTAGGCATACACAAAGACTAGCATATTATAACCATTGCCAAAAGTGTAACGACCAACCGCACAAGTTACACAAATGGTAGAAGAATTAAGAAATAAAGATGCTATGCGCTTTTACGAACACACGCAGGGGTGGATAGAGCTTTGTCTTTGAAAAGTGTTATTATAAAGCTTTAACCTGTGATAAAACACAACAATGCATTAGTTGTTAGAACTAGGCATACATATGGACTAGCAAATTATAACAATTACTAAAAAGTGTAACGACCGACCACACTATTTTTACAAATAGTAGGTGAAATCAGAAACAAAGATAATTTTTGCTTTTTTAGAAAGATTATAAGCTTTTATAGTGCCTCTTCGGTCGAGCAAAAACGCCATGAAAAAGCTATAACCTGTGATAAAGCACAACAACGTATTGCATTTTACAACCTGGCAAACACAAACTCTAGCAGATTAAAAACATTACCAAAAGTGTAACGACCGACCACACTATTTGTACAAATAGTAGGTGGAATCAGAAACAGAGATGATTTTAGATTTTCAGAACAAACATACACATTTATAGAGCTTAGTCATGCAAAAACGCTATGCAGAAGGTCAAACATGTGACAGAACACAACAATGTATTGCTTGTTACAACTAGGCAAACATAAAAACTAGCAGATTAAAACCATTACCAACAGTGTAACGACCGACAGCACAAGTTACACAAAGGGTAGTAGACACAAGAAATAAATATGCTTGAGCTTTAATGAAAACGTATAGACTTGGATAGAGCTTAGTCGAGCAAAAATAGCATAAAGCTTTAACCTGTGATAAAACACAACAATGTTATGGTTATTACAACTATATATACATAAAAGCTGACTATTACCAAAACAACCGATCACACAATTTACACAAATTTTAAGAGAAACAAGAAATAAGGATGCATCTAGCTTTTATGAACACATATACACTTAGATAGAGCTGAGTCGTTTAAAAATGTCATTCTAAAGCTTGAACCTGTGATAAAACACAATAATGTATTGGTTGTTACAATTAGGCATACACAAAGACTAGCAGAATATAACCATTACCAAAAGAGTAACGACCGATCACACCCATTTGTACAAATAGTAGGCGTAATCAGAAAGAGAGTTAATTTAAGCTTTTTAGAACAAACATCTCATTTATAGAGTTTAGCCATGCCAAAAAGCCATGAAAAAGCTCAAACAATTGACAGAACACAATAATGTATTGCTTGTTACAACTAGGCATACACAAAGTCTAGCAGAGTACATCCATTACCAACAGTGTAACGACCAACCACACATTTTTTAAACAAATATTAGGTGGAATTAGAAACAAAGATGCCTTCAGCTCTTTAGAACACGTTTTGACTTCGTTAGAGCTTAGTCGTTGAAAAATGTTATGATATAGCTTGAAACTATAATAGAAAAACAGCACTGCATTGTTTGTTATGACTAAGCATACAAAAAGACTTGCAAATTATTAGCACTACTACAAGTGACCAATCAAACTGTTTGTACTAATAGTACGTGCAATCATGAACAAGGATGATCTAAATTTTTTAGAACAAAAATATGCTTTTATAGAGCCTCGTCGCTCAAAAAAAGCCAAGAAAAAGCTTTAACCTGTCCTAAAACACAACAGTGTATTGCTTGTTACAACTAGGAATACACAAAGTCGAGCATGTTATAACCATTACCAAAAGTGTAACGACCAACCGCACAAGTTACACAAATGGTAGGAGAATCACGAAACAAAGATGCTATGAGCTTTTATGAACACACGTAGAGGTGGATAGAGCTTTGTCTTTGAAAAGTGTTATTTTAAAGTTTTAACCTGAGATAAATCACAACAATGCATTGGTTGTTAGTACTAGGCATACATATAAACTAGCAAATTATAACAATTACTAAAAGTATAACGACCGACCACACTATTTTTACAAATAGTAGGTGGAATCAGAAACAAAGATAATTGTAGCTTTTTAGAAATATTTTATGCTTTTATAATGCCTAGTCGTTCAAAAAAGCCATTAAAAAGCGAAAGCCTGTGATAAATCACAACTACGTATTGCTTTTTACAACTAGGCATACACAAAGACTAGCAGATTATAACCATTACCAAAGGTGTAACGACCGACAGTACAAGTTACACTAACGGTAGGAGAATCAAGAAATAAAACACAACAATGTTACGGTTATTACAACTAGATATACTCAAAAGCTGACTATTACCAAAAGTGTAACAACCGACCACACAATTTACACAAATTTTAAGAGAAACAAGAAAAAAGGATGCATCTAGCTTTTATGAACACATATACACTTAGATAGAGCTGAGTCTCTGAAAAATGTTATTATAAAGCTTGAACCTGTGATAAAACACAATAATGTATTGATTGTTACAATTAGGCATACACAAAGATTAGCAGAATATATCCATTACCAAAAGAGTAACGACCATCCACACAATTTTTTTTACAAATATTAGGTGGAATCAGAAACAAAGATGCTTTCAGCTTTTTAGAACACGTATAGACTTCGGAAGATTCTAGTCGTTGAAAATGGTATTATAAAGCTTGAACCTATGATTTAAAAAAACAGCACTATGTTGCATACAAAAAGACTTGCAGATTATACGCACTACTAAAAGTGAAAGAACTAATCAAACTATTGTACAAATAGTAGGTGGAATCTTAAATAAAGACTATTTTAGCGTTTTAGAACAAAAATAAGCTTTTATAGAGCCTAGTCGCGCAAAAAAAAGCCAAGAAAAAGCTTTAACCTGTCATAAACACAACAGTGTATTGCTAGTTACAACTAGGAATACACAAAGTGTAGAAAATCATAACAACTAGGCCTACACAAAGAATAGCATATTATGACCATAATCAAAAGTGTAACGACCGACCATGAAAAAGCCTTAACCTGTCATTAAGCACAACAGTGTATTGCTTGTTACAACTAGGAATACACAAAGTCTAGCAAAATATAACCATTATCAAAAGTGTAACGACCGAAGACACGATTTACACAACTAGTGGGAGAAACAAGAACTAAAGATGTTTCCAGCTTTTAAGAGCATGAATAGATGGAGCTTAGTCGTTTAAAAATGTTTTCTGTAAAGCTCGAACCTGTGATAAAACACAACAATGTATTGGTTGTTACAACTAGGCACACACAGAGACTAACATATTATGACCATTGCCACTGTAGAGTACGTACTGCAACAATCCACCACTGTCTTCATTATTGCGCTCTTTGCCTGGGCACTATCTTAGTGACGTCAAGGTATCTCCACGATACTTATAATTCCGTTAAACAGCTTAAACGCTATATTGCCGGTAAGCAGAATGAAATGTTTTAAAACCGAAAAGCAACATTTTGCAGCCGAGACACACAAAAAAACTGTCAATTTTACCTACAACGTTTTTTATTTTGTTTTGTTTTGTTTTGTTTGTTTGTTTTTGTTTGTTTTTGGTTGGGTTTTTTTCCTGTTTTGTTTTGTTTTTACATTTAGAATTTGGATTTCGACAAAACATTTCTTGAGCGCATGCAGCCGACATCTGAGGTTAAGAATATATATGCAATTCTTTGAAATTCAATTTTGTTTGTTTAACTACTTCACTGCCAGGCCCGAGAGTTGAGTTGTCGAGTAGGTCTAAGAGTAAGAGTAAAAGGACATTCCTGCATTTTCTAAATCTCAGTTTATTAGAGATAAAAATTACTTGAAGGCTACTTTTTCGTTTGAAGTAATTAGAGCTTGTCTCCTCTTGTGAGCGACGCAACATCGCGTCGTTTGTGGTCTTTGCCGCTGTAAAATCAATCAAGTAAGAATATAAAGAAACCGTCTCCTTACACGCGACGCGGCATCTGTCGCACGCGACCGTCGCCTGTGATCGGTCCATGTAGCGATCGAGGGCCTTGTCGCGTGCGACAGACTAGGGGTATGACAGGTTTAGAACATAACCATTGGTCAAATTACCTAGCCAAGGAGTGCCGGTCGAGACGCCATGTGTGGTATGGTGTGGTGTGGTGTGTGTTTGTGTGTGTGTGTGTGTGTGTGTGTGTGTGTGTGTGTGTGTGTGTGTGTGTGTGTGTGTGTGTGTGTGTGTGTGTGTGTGTGTGTGTGTGTGTGTGTGTGTGTGTGTGTGTGTGTGTGTGTGTGTGTGGGATGTCCATCTTCAATTCGACCCATTGTAAGTTTTGCGAATCTAATTTTGTTGCTTTGTCTTTTTAAACGGACAGCAGCAGGAGGAGGAGGAGGAGGAGGAGGAGGAGGAGGAGGAGGAGGAGGAGGAGGAAGAGGAGGAGGAGGAGGAGGAAGAGGAGGAGGAGGAGGAGGAAGAGGGGAGGGGGAGGAGGAGGAGGACTTGTCCGAGATTGGCTATTTACGGAATAAAAAATGTCAGAGGCTCGTAGCACTCCCATCTAACCGACTTCTTGTCCAGCTTGACATTAACATTTGGCACTGTCTCTCTTCTGTGAATTGCCAGTCGTGCGCGGCTAAACGTCGCGTCGCACATAAGTAGACAGTTTGTCGCTCTTGTCGTACGAGACAGAACATTTTAGCGTGATGTGGTCGCGCATAAGGATACACACCTCGCGACTCATCACTAGATCTAGTGACTATCGCGCGTCACTAAACGTTGCGTCGCGCATAAGGAGACATAGGAAGGGGTTTGGTCACGTCGCTGTTCCCTCTCAGCCGTCAACAACATCGACCCCACAACGTAAGCGACAGTGAGCTGATCTTGCGGAGACCTCGGGGTTTACAAAACACTGTCCTCCCCTTCTCCCTTTCAAAATGTTTTTTTTATTTTTTTTGGTCAGAGCCATTCGAACATGGTGGATTAGAATTAAACGACGAAAAACTAATTACCTACCTTTAGAGATTAAAAGAAAACCATTTTGGTATGCAGAAATTAGACCAGTTAGTGAAAAGATGACCAGATATGTACATAATATTGTGAAAACTGTCTTCTTCCAACAAGTACATAATATGATTACGTCGCAAAGTATAGTCTATCAGAATTAAACTCCTGGGATTTGGCATGGCGTATGCAAACGAACAAAACTCATAAAATTAACAAATTTGTTCATTTTTCTTCAAGTTACATTAGTCTCCCCGAGACTACATACTTATAGTTCCCTCTGAGAGCATAGCATTGGTAGTACCACCGCCAATCGCTTCTCGGCCTTTTGGCTAAGATCAAAGTGTAGTATCTGTTCTCAGCTTCTCCTCCGGCCCTGTGTCCACTGGTTTAGCGAGGCGGATACTGCCCGAGGCACCCGAAGGACGGAGAAATCTGCCCCTTTTCTATGGAGTGGACGGTCATCGTCTATAATTTTTTTTTAATTTAATAAGTACAACAGCCAATGAAGTTATAACTGAGGCCTCAGTACTGCTAACTGTTGGCAATGGAGAGAGTTAGTGTTGGAATGGAGGGGTAAAGGTGTGTGAACGGTTTATTTGTTCGGGTGTAACGCCATTCCTACCCCCTGCCATTGCACAAACACAAAAGGATATCAAGCCACATTGAACCATATGCTTTTACGACTGGTAATACAGATACATGCATATATGTAACAGGAATTCGTTTATACTTTTAGTCCAACCAGAGAGTCCGAGACAGGGGTTAATATATTTGAACAGCTGGCCGATGATATAGAACCCTATTGTAAGACTTCCTGGATTCTTTCAGGACATGGAAGAAGCAGACGATGACTTCGCCTTTGTGACAGCAGGCTCGCACTCTACCTACCCGGCCACCATAGAATTCATCTATTCAGTGCAGTATTTCTTCCCCAAGAGCAGAATAGGCATATTCGACATCGGCCTCACCTCAGACGAAAGGGAATTTGTGAGTTTTCATTATATCACAATGTTCTTTCCTTCTTTCTTCCTTTCCTTTGTTCTTTCTTTCTTTTTATTTATTTATTTATGTATTTATTTATTTATTTATGTTATGTTCATGCATCTATCCATCTGTTTCTTTGCTGCTGTATTCATGTGCATTGTATTTATTCGTTATCCATACATTGTATTAATTATTTGATCTATGGGTGACAGCATCTGTGGTTTAAATTAGGTCCCTTGCTGTTGCATACAGAAGACGTGAGTTCGATTCCAGAACAGGAAAGATATCTTATCAAGCATCGCTGTCCACTTGGTTGTAAATTCCCACTTTGTAAGTTTCTTAAAAATCATCAAATTGAGTCATTAAAACATTTACAATCAATCATTCAGTTTAGTCGAACACAAATAACTCAGACACGTTGCAGATTGACTAATGAATTGGACACCTCCATAATTCAGGTAAACCGACATAACGAAACATTAAACAGACATCAGTCGAGGAATGGCAAATTGTACGCGATATCCGTGATTTCGTGTTGTCTGTTTTAGTGGGGGGTTTATTTGTTGGGTTTTGCTTGTTTGTTTGTTTTTTTAAGCGTTCACGGCGCTCGCAACTGCGTAAGGTCAAATGAGTAGCGGGACACATTAAACGTTTTTAGCTTGGTAGGAATTTACTGAATGCTGTTTGCCTTTTGTGTCGTCTGCAGATTTCCAGTCTGTGCAAAACAGAAGTAGACAGTCTGTGGCTGCAGTTCTGGCCGGAAGCGCTCTACAAGATACGTCACAGGGTATGGAGGCCGCTTGTTTTACAGGTGAGCTCGTGTTGGTGTTTCTTTGTTTGATTTGTGGACAGGCCACTTTAGGGAAAGGAGAGTGGGCTTATTCTTTTATTTATTCATTTATCTGTTATGGGTGGCACATTTTGTTTATTTACTTGTTTCTTGTGGGGATGTGGTAATAAAAGGTGGCTTGTTTAGTTTATTCATTTGTCTATTTCTGGTGACTTCAAATATACCAAAATAATATACAATAAATTTAGATAAAGTTTTATTTGGTAAAACGATGGCCTATACAGCAAAACAGTTGGATAATAAATGCCTGTATAAATAGATGTAGGCCTACACGTACTTTTTTAGTGCTGGCAGAAGTCATTATTCCGAAAGCCCCCCCCCCCCCCCCCCCCCTCCCTCCCTTTATGTTTCCCTTTTTTCGATCATTTTCGTCCGTTCTCATCCTTTTCTTCAGGTGAATGTAACAACAACAACAACAACAAATACAATAATGACGATAAGAACAACAACAGCAGCAATTTCAATAACAACAAAAATAACCCCCCTAAAAAACCATTGTTTGTTTCCCCAGTTGGCCTTGGCTAAGTACGGCCATTACATCTACCTTGAGCCCGGCCGGTTCGTCAACAGACAGAACTTACGTCAGTACCTGCAGCACAGCCGCAAGCACGGAGTCACTGTGGCGGGCAGACAACTCAAGTACAGCAGCTACGTGGTTACCTCCCCTCACATGTACTCCTTTCTCAGGGTGAGGAAACAAAGTGGCGCCGGCCCCCTTAACGGGCCGTCTCCACTGTCTGTGCTCTACTGTCAATTAGTGGGATACGGCTCTGGTTTGGGTTTGGGTCAAGGTTTAGGGTTAGAGTTACTGATTGTAGTAGACGTGTAGATCGTCAGGGGGAACAATCTTAAGACTTGTCCGGTGAGGCATTGTGGAAGACCATCAAGTGGACTGGCACCAAAATTAATATTACAACTGTGGGCCTATGTATGGTACAATGGGCTTCACCGTAATTTTACTTTTCTGTTCAGAATGTATCAGCTCAAGGGTCAGTTTGAGCCGTTTTTTAAAAAATAAGTATAAAGCGGTCTTTTTAACGTGAAGCGTGAAGTCATGGAAATCCGTGTATGGCGTCGCAGAGAGTGGAGACTCCGGAAGTATGTTGCAGGCTAACCAAACGAAGCACTAAAATTCCCTTTTACCCACAGACTCACACCTTAACCCTTTCACTGCCAGCCCTGCTCATCAATCCAATAAAAAAAAAAAACACAAGACGTACTCGTTCGAGCCTGGCAGCGAAGAGGTTGCGGGGGGGGGGGTAAATAAGTATAAAAAGTAAGCAGATCTTTAACTCTTAGAGGACGTAGAGGACACATGTGTCCAATCTGCAGGTCAAACGCAATATTGCGACACATTTACAAACCTACAAACAGATATCAGAAACATAAATGTGTATATTCTATAGTACAGGTAGGCATATGTAGGATTATTGCCGGCCTTTTGAAGATTCAGATTTTTTGGGGGGGTTTAAATCTGTATGAATAACGAAGTTATGTTTCTTCTAAAAGTGTCTCCCAAGCAACACATCTTCAGGCTTTATCGAATGACTGGAACGTGCGTCCTAAATGACAAGGGGGTGGTGCGGGGGGAGGGGGGGGGTACATTTCCAAATGTCACAGTGTCCGTCAAAGAACAAGCCAAAATTCCACCAGGCAAGGTATCTCAGAGTCAAGCGACTTTGTCATTTGTGTACGTCAGGAACTAAAGATCTGCTCACACATTGACCAACATTTCAAATGACTGAGCATTTTGTTAGCATTTCGGTTCACAGAGAATTTAATCTTTTTAAAGAAAATCAATTAACTGTAGTTGTACATTTTCCATAAGCTCACTGCGTTATAACTTCTAACGCCAGCTGTGTTTTGTCAATTTACTACTTTTGTGGGAGCTCATGGAGTGGCCAAGCCCTCAAAATGATTGCGAATGTTTTCCTTTTTCTTTTAAATTATTTCCTTTATCGGGAAAGGCGGCCAAGAGGCACGGTGCTCGGCGCTCTTTCTCTTCTCCATCTTACACTTCTTTCCCCCCTCCTTTTCCTCTCCTTCGTGTGTGTGTGTGTGTGCGCTGTATGTATAATATTATTTCCCAACTACAAGCGGATGGTACGCGAGTGACATTTTCAAGTCTTACTACTCGTCTTTTTCTCTTTTGATTGTTACGTTTGTCTGTCTTACCTTTCCCCCACTCTAAAAATTACATTACTTATCTGCGCACTTCTCTTTTCTCGACAAACAAAATGTCTCGCATTACTACTCGAAATAGGTGTCATTGTGTCTTTTATTCAGGAGTAGCACATCAACATGATAACGTCCACGTAATTAGTTGTGGGGAAGAGCGAGATAGACAAATTAGAGAGAGAGAGAGAGAGAGAAAAAAAAAGTGGGGGTGGGGGGGCGGCGCCAGAGTAGGGTTTACCTTCAACTTCAACTACCATAGTGCTATCTTGAGGATGTACTTCTTCCTCTTTACCAAAACTAAATCTGTCGCAAACCCCCTACCCCCTTTTCCCCCATATAAACGAGCAGCAACTCCAAAGGACGAAAGGACGCCACACTTGAAGATGTTATTCTTTCTCTTTACCGCAACTAAACTGTTCCAGTTCTCTCCCCGATTCCCCATATAAACGGGCGGCATTTGCAAATGGAATGCCACACTTGAAGATGTTCTTACTGTTTACTTAGACTTAACTGTTCAAATTCTCCCCCTTTCCCCAGGTAAACGAGCGGAAACTCCAAAGAACGCCCCACTTCGACTTTACCCTTCTCATCCTGCACGGCACTGCACCAGTCAGGAACCATTTCATGCGCTATTTGATTGCCTGCGCAATGGAGGACTATTGTATCGCTCCTCCAGACTCCAAAGCGAGCTGTGATGCCCATTTGGCGAACAACAAACGGTACGCCAATTGCCACCGATATGACGAATCCGCCATTAATTTGATTCTCAACCACTGGCACGGTTATAAAGCGGAGGAATTTCTGGTGAGAGACGGGATTACGCGGTACTTTGACGGTCGGGACATGAGCAAGAAGGTGAAGATCTGTAACAAACCCAAGGAAGAAATATGAAAATTTATTGATGTAATAAGCTCTTGGTCTTGTCTTTTATTCTGTCTTTGAGATCATGTATTTAATTAAGCATGTCTGTTTGTTTTTACATGAATAAAGCTAGTGCAGCCCTTGGAAGTCTCACAGCAAAGGTTTGGGACTGCTGTAGCATTCCAACAGAGACAAAGTTGAACATCTTCAATACTGCAGTCCTTCCAACTCTGTTGTACGGTGCCGAGGCATGGACTATGTACCAAAGCCACGCCAAGAAACTTAAGCATTTCCATACGAATGCGTTAGGGGAATTATTGCATTAATACATGTAATAATAAAGATCACTTCTATAGCGCCCACTGTCTGGGCTTTATGTGCTTCACAATATCATAGTAAGATTTAATTGAACGTTTTATGCATACTGGCCCATTCAACAGACAAAAATAATTTCAAATACAGTAGAGTCCACTTAAACTTAAATCGAAATCTGCGGGACCGCCGGATTTTCTTCGTTCAGCTGGGTTTTCGGTTTAAAGAGGTTATTCAGCCGAAAAAAATGTTAGGGGTTTTATTTTCTTTCAGGTTTACCACTGTTTTTTTAATTGTATGTGTCCACTACACATACTCGTCATGTAACAAAGAACACATGCACAAAAGACAATCACGTGGCCACTGATCACATTTGTCGCTGGAAGAAGCATCAAACTACATGTAGTTAGGTAAATGGAATTTTAGTAAAAGTGTTTTTAGACCAGATTTATATGCAGTCAAAGTAGCCACCTCTCTTAAATGCAGTGGGAGGGAGCTCCACACTGAGGGAGCAGCTGTCAAAAAAGCCATACCTCCAATTTTGTGAGTATTACTGGGCACAATCTTATCTTGTTGTATTTATTAATGAACAGTAATGGCAGGACCAAATATACCAGACATCAAGTTCTCAAAAGGGTAAATGCTGAGAATCTGTTTTCTAAGCTCAAAATGATTCAGAATTTGCTGACCTTGTAAGAATGCCTGATTTCTGAATCACGAGGCAGTATTCTATTCTGAACTGTTCTCAAAAAAGAATAAACTTGGCGCACCAAAAAAAGCACTACAAAGACACCCTGAAATGTTTAAGAAGAACCTCAACATAAATCCTTCAACACAGAATAGCCTAGCTCTTGACAGACCCAGTAGAAAAGTAGCTGTCACAATGGGCAGCAAGCCACATGAGGCAACAAATACAATTTTGAGAAGAAAAAGAAACAAAGCAACTCGTATTTCTGTCATTTTATTGAAATGTAACAGATTCTATTCATAATAAGTTCATCCACAAAAAAACGAAAATTACTTGCAGTCCCATCATCACAGTCGAGTGTCTTCACGTGTCAACCGCTCTCACAAACTCTACAGCAAAAGTCTTGACACATATTAAGTTACAACTGTTGTTTCTCTTCTTTCTAACTGACCAATATTATTCTACACCTTGACATATAAATTGGAATGAATTTTGCAACATGTACATCTGAATTTCAGTGACATGACTGAACCTGAAAAGATACACTGGTGTAAATAAGGACAAGAGAAAAAAGAAAAGGGGATGGGGGAGAGGAGGGGGATTTCACGTTTTAACATATTTTTTTTAGATCTTTCTGCCTTTATTCACTGGTACCTTCTCCATTATGGCACAAATACAATTTTCCAACCCTTGGAAATATGCACCCAAGTTCGGTACATTCTCACTATCTACCAATAATATGAATTTGCTAAATTGTTCCGGTTGTCCGTTTCAACACAGTGTAAAAGTTATTTAAGAGGCATGACCTCTGAATTTAACGTCCATTTCCGAAAGGACCAAGCCAAATAGGTGGAGAGCCTTAAAAACTCCACAAAACAACCCAGGTTCACAACAACCTACAGGGGATTGAAACCAGGGCCATCTGCTCCATAGTCCAGCAAGATACCAGCTGAGCTAGCACTGTGCCCTCACTATTTCAAGGGACTCAAAATTTTTTTCTGGCATAAATGGTCGCTTTTAAGGACTAGCGGGCTAACCCAGAATCCGGGGGTTTCCAGAAATCTTGACCTACACCAAAACTGGGCATTGCCCCACCTATAGGAGAAGTTTGGTTTCATTGGTGTGTATAATATTTTCTTGGTTATAGAGAAAACTCTCCTCGTCTTTTGAAGAAACTGAATAAGAATCCAAAAACTATACCTTTGCTCAGAACAGCATTTTTCGGGATAGCCCCCTTGTGCTTAAAAGCAACCAAATAATGAGTATATTTTTCCATTATAGACAAAAATAACAAAAGGGGCGGGACAGCATTCCTTTTACAGAGCATGAGAGTCAACCATTTACAATAACATTATAAAGTGTTAATTGGACATTGCGACTTCGGCACTTCAAGAAGATAACAAGATCATAATCTCCATCAAAAGATGGCAGCCGCTGTACACCGTGTTAGTACATTGTATACTTACACATACTATACTACATAATGGAAGTCTGGGTGTTACAAATACTATCAATCCCTCAAATGCAAAGATAAATACACAAGAACACTGAAAATATTTATACCGATGGATACAACAATTACAAGCAATGTCAGAGACCATACGTCAAGCCTCGCCGTATCATACCAATGTCTGAAACATCGGTAACATACTTTATGTAATAAGTATTATAATTATCTCATGACAAATAAGTGAAGCTCATTTATTGGGAGTGATTAAAAACAATCATTATCTCATTAGCCGGAAACAACGCTAGACATATAGGTTAAAAAAAAAAAAACCCACTCTAACCTTACATAACATGACAATGGTGCGTGCACATAGGTTACTTTAAAAAACAAGTTATAAGTCTTCCCTTTTTAACTGTAAGTCTTAAAAGAGCTTTGTATGTCCCACGTACACACGCAGTTACCAGTACTTGATTCTAGAGAAGAGTGGAAAATTGAGCCATCACACAACAGGAGCTATTCCTGTTTATCTCACGGTATGAAAGAGGTAAAGAACCCTTCACACCAGTTGCATCAGGAATAAATAGTCATAGAAACAGACAAAAAAAAGATTGTAGAACACATTTTTAAAATCTTCTATATAAGTATTTTAACTCTGCCAACAGGCCTACAATGAATGATTTACACTAACCATGCATTCTGGTAAGATGACAGGATTTCACCAAGCTGCAGTTGGTTACTGTGTACAACTTTTAAGTCATAATGAAAACACTCAGACATCCCCCCCCCCCCAATTCCACTCCTTTTCCCCAAGCCATCACAATAGCTACTCAATAGCTACACAAAATGAAGTCTTTCCTCTACCATCTTCTTCTATAAATCTTTAGGTGACATAACACACACCAGGCAAAGTGAACCACTAAGCACAACCCAAGGACTCAGTCAGCTAAAACAACAAAGACAGACTCAAATTAATTCATGTCACGGCCTGAAATTCCCTCCAATGTATAAAACTATAAAACGTTTTTCCTGTACAGTCCTGTGGTAACTAAATGCTCTGGACAAACCTGTCAGCTTTTCATTTCCCCCACTTCGTCCTTATTTGTGCTTTTAGTTTCAGTAAGTGTTTTACGGCACTTGCAACACAATTAGATAATATAAGTGCAGAAGATTAGAGGTTTTACAAGAGGGTGAAAAACACACAAAAAAGGAGAGATAAGGGGGACAGATTTTTTTAACACTTTGCCGTTACATCTTGCCGATCGGCGAGAACGCCAAACTTACTCTCCCATCACAAAACACCGAATGGTGATGTTTGCAACCAAGTTTCTTTGGATTCCCCCCCAAATGCTTGTGGTGGCAAGGGTTTTTACTATGGGCCTTGTGATGGCAAAGTGTTAAAGGAAAAAAGGAGCAGACCACATCAGAGCACCCACCAACCACCTATCCTTATTCATGCTTTCCATTTCAATTTGCTACAGTCATATTTACTAGCACATTCTGGATCATGTTGGGCTCATTGGTTACTTGCACCCTCATCACAGAACACAGAATACAGACCAGCAAAACACAACCATTTGCCCATTCAGATAGAACACTGCCTACCTACCTAGCAAGCTACCGCTCCATAAAACTATGGCCTGGTTTTGAGCAGGAAAAAAAATTAGAACAGTCATTCTTTATTAACATTTAAATGGAACTGTCATATGGAATGTTCCTCAGCTCCTTCGAGATAAGAAATCTCAAATCTCAAGGGAAAAAGAACATTCTCTCACCATGGAAATGCAATCATAAAAACATTGGGGGGTGGGGGGTGTGTGTGTGTGCTGCATCCTACTCATGAAAAACAGTTCACAACCGCGTGATCAGTTTTGAAAAAAGACCACAAGAAAAAAAGTGGTCAAATTTGGTACCACTACAGAAGAAGAAAAAAAGAATATGGAAGATATTATTACGAATACTGGGCTTTGTAAGCCAGCATAAGAACAAAATTTCCATAGAAAAGTCCAGAAATTTGTTGCAGATAATGCAAACATTTCATCATAAAACCTTCCTAAAACATAATTTTTGTTTAATAAATAGCAAGATCTGATATAATTTAGCTTTAGCCGATGAGATCTGCTGGGTACCGTGGTTGGAGCGATTTTTTACTCATGAGCAGCACACAAGGATACAACATTATGCAACAACTCAAACACTGACTGCTACACTATTCACTCAAAAAATTCCCAATACCCATGTATACACAGGAGCCGCCAAAAGTGCGTACATGTGCACACACAAACACACACACACATAAACACACACACACATAAACACACACACGCATACAGTAAACATCATCATAAAATTTGTTTTACATGACTTTTGAGGTCAATCAAAGGAAAACTCAAACCATTGCTTTCAAAGCAAAAAGTGCCATGCAAAACAGTAGAGCAAGTAGAGAGAGAGAAGTGAACATCTAGAGGGAAAGACAATGACAGTGTGTACTAAAGACACACATGCCTCCAAGGACACACAAAAAAAGGAAAAAACTCCCATAGAAAAAAAGAGTAAAAAATAACACAAAGATGAAAAAAAAGGATTTATCAAATATTTCAGAAAACACTTAATTCCATCTAAAAATGAGAAAATCCATGCAATCCTCATTCCCTGGGCCTACAGGACCCCTGCACCTGAGATCCTGAAAGAAAACTCGCAGACATAGAGCACCTCTCAAGTTGAGGTATGCATTCACTGTACTGCAGGATAAAGACGGCATGCCCTCTTCACAATTGGGTTAATGCAGCCAGTACCCTAAGACAAAGCTTAAGTTATAAAGATATGATAATCCTGGATATTTCATATTGGAACACAGCTCAAATAACAGTAACCAAAGCAAAACTCAAGTTATAAGAGTGTAAGTGAGGGGGGGGGGGGGGGGGGGGGGGAGAGACAATTACTTAAAGATATAAGCAATTACCTTTTTGAAAAGTTAAAGGCAGTCAGCTTCGGATTTGGGGTTGTTTTTTCAAGGACAAACTTGTAAAGAATCTGATTTTATCAGCATAGATAGCAGGTTGGATTCAGTACTGTTTGATGGAGAAGCTTACACAAGAATTAAATGATAACACATAAACAAAAAAACCTGTACTATAAAAGGGAAGGTCAGAAACTTATGAAGACAAAGGTTTGGCATGTAGACACTATCATCTTGACATTAAGTACCCAAAAAGACGATGAAGTGCACTTTAAAAATAAATAATTCAAAATACAGAGTGAAAAAGAAACGGGAGAAAAAAAGAAAAGGAATCTGAACAGTAGTGACCAAAAAATGAAAATTGCCAAAATACAACAAACATGGAAAACTCAGTCAAACAACATCATTCAAACAAAACTAAACATCAAACATTCAAAGGCAGTTAAGAGTCAAGCTTTCAAATGCAGCTGAGCATCAAACATTCAAACAAAGCAAAAAGAGTAAAATTTTCCAACACAGTTAAATCTCAAACATCCTGAACTGTACTGTAAACAAATAAAACATGACATGTCTCATTTCTCAATTCTCCCCCCAACACAAAATAACATGAACAACAAATTACAACAAGTTCTGTCCTACGCACACTCAGTCATCATAACTCCTCCTTCCGTTTTGTATCTGAAAAATACAAAATGGGGAAAAAATTTCAGACTTCAGCAAAGCAAAAGTAATTTATCAAGAATGTTTTTAGACTGAAAGAAAAATAACATAAAAGATATAAAAATCATTTTTCAATCAAGGAGGACTGAAGTAATTGTTCAACAGCGTCATAGAAAAACTATAAAAACTTTAGACAAAGACATTCAGTAAAGCAATAATAATTGTGATTAAGACATTTCAGCTAGAAGAGAACATCATGTTTTAGTAGTTTTAGTAGAGATTTTACGGTGCTCGCAACTGCATAAGGTCATATGAGAGCCAGAAGATAAGAGGTGTTACAAGAGAGTAACAAACATAAAAAAGAAGGAGGAGAGATCACGACGATAGAAGTTTCACAGGAAAGAAGAAGCAAACCACACCAGAGCACCCGCCAACCACCCACTAGAGAACATCAGTACATGACAACCAGTCATTAAGTCACTTGAGCCTGAGCTATTTTTCACCCAACAAGCATTGTTTCTGACACTTTTGGGGTATATTGAAGCATAAACCTCAAAAAGACTGAAAGCTGTCATTTTTTTAAAAAGCAGTTAGAGAAAGAAAGAAATGCTCTCACAGAAAAAGAAAACTGCATCTGATTTGTCTAAATAGTTTTTATTTTATCAATATTTTGAAATGGCAATGTCTGGGGGTTACGCAATTTTTTTTTGCGACCAATTTATAATAAAATCATCTATCGCAATGCTGGAGAGACTGACTTGGTCCGTTACAACTCAAAAAGTATCGCACATAACTTCACCAAATTTTTAACGAAACGAAACAAGTGGCTTGTAACCGAAAAACACCTGAGATATCAATCGATAAAGCGCATCCCGTAAATACACGGAATTAGGCCACCGGGCCGGCGGGGGTCCCGTAAATACACGGGAATAGGCTCAAGTGAGTTAATACATTCCTGGCCAAAGGAAAACAAAAGGCAAAGCAAAAATAAAATCAGTAAAATAAAAAAATAAATTTAAAAACAGAAACAACCAAAAGAAAAAGTAGGCACAGACCAGACCAGAGCACCCATCAACCCCCTAATACATGCCCAAATTTACTGGCTTGACAACTCGCAAATACAGGAGAAAGTGAATGTAGGGTACTGCTGGTAGGTCCTCTTTTTTTTTTTACTCTATTGTTTCTGTCTGACTTGCTTCTTCCCTGAATTAAGTAAATGGCAGAGAATGTACCAATGTGCTTCTCTTTACTCAAACAAACACATAAAAAAAGAGGGAGGTACCCTACCTGACTTCTTGTTAAGCTGTGGGGGTTCATATTCAATCTGCTCTTTGGTGTTGGTATGATAGATATCGTCCCATAACACTTTCACCTCGTAGTCATAGTCTTTCCACTCCGGAACAATCCGCATAGCTGCCGCAAGTTTGGGTTCTTTTGTTAGTGGATTGTTACACTGAGGACAACAAGAGAAAGGTACATGAATACATTGTCAAGATGGCGTGTTCATGGCCTCACGGTAAAGTCATTACCAGGGGCTGGGGGGACATACAGCAATGTGGCCAATAAGGTGCACTTAATAATAATAATAATAATAATAATAATAATAATAATAATCATCATAATAATAATAATAATAATAGTAAATCCCATTTTATAGAGCAAATTCTCACTCAACAGCAAGCCCTATATTAGATATGCTTTAAAATCCTTATCAATACCTCAGCAGACTTGATAGCATTCTGTCAACTTCTTGGGAAGCATTCAGTGCATGCTGCCATTTTACTGGAACTAAAATACTAACATACTGACAAGTTCTTTCATTGTCTAGAGGGGGGTACCCATTCACATCTGGGTGAATTGAGGAAACTTTGTGTACAATGGCTTTCCCAAGGACAAAACATCAGGTCCAAGCCTCGAACCCCCAAACCTGCAATCTCACTATTACAAGACTGGTAGCCCAACCACTAGACTACCTATGCCACATGACAGGCATGTTGTCTGCACTGACAGCTAATTAACAGCATGGTGAACAATTACGGGAAGGACATTTTGACATGATTCAGTAAAGCAGAACAAGTCAGTTCTAAAATTGTTTCGGAGTTTGTCTATGAATATGTTCATCCATGTGTGATTGTAATGACCATAATTATTTGAGGGGGTTTTTGGTTTGTTTGATTTTTAATGGGGTGGTTTGATTCCCAAGTGAGAAATTTTTTTTCGAGTATCTCAATCTTTCTGCTAAAATGTTGTATCACTCTCAGCCTGGGTTGGCCCTGACGATAAAAGGTAAACTCTTCATTGCTTTAGATGTGATTTTTTTTATTACTCATCCTTTTGTAATGAATATGGTATCCCACTCATCATAAAAGGTACATCGTAGAGAAACATATTTTTTCCCCACCACAAACATGACAGTTAATTGTGGCAAAAACACAGGGAATGAGTTAAAAACACTGACAGCTTACCAAATCTATAGTTTTGGCTTTAGGTTTCTCGGAAACGTCACACCACGTCTCACAGTAGAGCCACTCCTGAGGCAATGACTTTATGGCGACCTGAGAGAACCAAAGAAAGCAAATTATAAAGTGTCATAAAAATATACCTGTATTAACAAAACTTCATAATTGATGTTGGAAATAGTCATATGAGTAGCAACATCACTTGATAGAGAGCTTCTAATAAATTAAAGCATTCATAATAAAGAACATATTTTTTCAAGTTATGGAGTAGGGCTATTAACACAGTTTACCGAGTCCAAGAAGGCATGGATTGAGCAAGGAATGCCTGTGAGTACACCAAATAAAGTATAAGTTTTCAAAGAACTGGCACCATCGTCTCACAATAAAGTGTTTGCCGATGACGAAGGTGCACATGAATAATAATAACCAGTGAACACTGCAAATCAGAGTCATCAATTTGAGTCGGTGCTAACCAAATTTTCCTTCATGGATGAAGCAAAAGGTATCATATTGGCACAATTTGATCGAATAGAGCATTATGCCCTTCAGAAGACCCCAATTTAGGATGATTATACATACAAACAATGCAAGCGTATACAAATGCAGACAAGTAAAAAAAGCAAAAATCCTGTTCCAGTCATGCTGAACTTCAGACAAACAAGCCAACCCCAAAGCGGACAAACACACACACACACACAAACAAATCCAAACACAAAAAAACAAGATGACAAATATGGCTGAGGTTATATTAAACTGCAAACAAACGAACCAATCCTAAAACAAACATACACACACACACAATGATGCATACACAGAACCATCCAAAAAAACAAGCAAACAAGGTAACCAGATATTACCCGACATATCATACTATTGGACAAAACCAGACAGACAGACACACAGACAGACAGACACACTGACAGAAAGTAACCTCAAAACACACAAACACACACAATCACCCAGACACACAGACAGTCAAAGACGGACAAGCAACCACACAGCACCTGGTGTATCATATTATTGGGCAAATCCTGATCAAGGTTGGCCAAACTGTTTGGGTCCTGACTCAGGCCTTGGTACTGTCCCCTCAGCCGATCGCCGGCTGCGATGCGACGGAATCGTTTCAGGTCCACCACGTAGAGGGCACTGATGTGGTACTTCCTGCCTGCCAGGTGGCTCTTCCAATACCCAGACCTCCAGAACCTGAAACATTTAATTCCAGTTAAGTATAAACGTTCTACAGCACTTGCAACACAATAAAGTCATATAAGTGCTTAAGAAAAGAACCCACCAACCATCCACCCTGAAACACTGAGGATGCTTGGTCAGCTGAGGGCTAGAGGTGACTGTTTTGAGAAAAATTGATTTTTAGGACCAGGTATAATAGGCAACTCTTGGACAAAGACACTTCAGGAATTGCAATTATGGCAAATGTACTGGACGCATTGATTTGATATTTACAGACATGATTCAATACTGTTTGAATACCCCCATTTCATAACGCTATTTTGGGGATTTTAGCCAACATGAACATGGTCACTTCTGGCTCACCATTTGTCATACAACTATCACACTGAAAGTGTCAATCACTAAACATGAAAACAATATTAGGAGAGATAAAGTGCTATCAACCAGGTACACAACTGTACACTTGTAATTTTAATTTCATTTGGGTTGTTGTTGTTTTTATATTTCTCTTCTTTTTTTTTCTTTTTTTTTCAAAAATGAATTTGTTGTCGGCATTGTTAAAGCTTTCATTGTTGTTGTTGATCAAGTGACTTTAATAAAAGTTCGATGCTCTACAACAAAAATAGCGTATCATCTGGCCTTATACTAAAAGGAAGGAAAAAGGAAAAAGAAAGAGAGGAAAACAGAGAAGACACATTAAAGTAACCAGTACGCATGTATATCTGAACACCGACGTTCACAAGTGCCATTTCAACAATCGGTGCACTGTCTCTATTGTTGATATGCAGCTGACCAATTCACTCCCACCCCTCCTACTTCTAGTATTCTCACCAGCTTGATCAATGCAATGTTAGTAAAACTGTATAGAGAAAGAGTGGAAAGAGAAAATGAGAGAGAGAGATAGAGAGAGAGACAGAGAGAGAGAGAGACAGAGAGAGAGGGAGAAAGAAAGGGGGGAGGGAAAGGATCATGATTCAAACTATGTTCTTTTTATTATTATAAAACTTTAAGGAAATGAGCTACAATTTATTATTGTTATTATTATCTCCCTCTCCCTCCCAACCCTCCTAAGATGAACCACAATTCCAAAATTCTAAGTAAAACAACATCATCAATGACACGATGACCAAGCAGTCTTTGCCACTCTCGCTCCCTCCCTTTCTCTTAATCCTTACCTGAAGCCGTCCATTTCTTTACGACTGTCACAGAAAGGTGTGTAGCCGTATGGGGCACCTCCAAGGTCAAGATCATGCAGCTCTTGCAAGTCTGCTCTCACAATCTGGTACCGACAAAGAAGAAAGTTAGAAAGGGGGAAGGGGAAGAGGGGAACTGACCTGCTACAAAGGGCTGCCAAATTTCTACTTGAAGCTGGCCTCTACATGTAAAGGTTTAAAAAGTGGCATCTGTGGTCTAGCACTGAAAGCTAGAAATAAAAATTGTAAGTCGTCAACAGATGTTGCCACACATGATTTGACATTTCTTAGAATACATAATTTTTCACTGGATGCCTTTTTTCACTTGCTCTTTTTCTCTTTGATCAGTTTTCCTCCCCATTTCTTTTCACTATCAGTGTCATACGAAAAATCCTCACCTGATCTGCATCAACAAAAATGATTTTCTTCACATCCAATGGGAACAGTACGTCAAGGAACAAAATCTTGTAGCTGAAAGTAAAAAAAGCAACAATGTAAAATACGATACTAATAACTGGCAGTGCAGAACAATAGAAGATTACCAAAATTGTCAAAGATTTAAAGAGTCGATATTAAAACAATCATTAGTTTAGTTTCAGTAAGAGTTTTACAGCACTAACAACACAATAAGGTCATATAAGTGCCGAAGAATAGATGTTACAAGAGAATAACATACACAAAAAAGAAGGAGGGGAGATAAGGACGATAGGTGTTTGATAGGAAAGAAGGAGCAAACCACACCAGAGCACCCGCAAACCACCCACTAAAACAATCTAAAGAACTCAAAACATACAAATGCTAAATATAAAAAAAGCACATGAACAAAATAACACTGAAAATAAAGATCAGCTAAATAAAATTAAATACACTCAGACAAGCATCTGTGGTGTTGCTGTTAGCTGCTTCAGTCATGCACAGAAAACATGAATTTGATTCCAAAGTGGGAAGAATTTTTTAATGAGTATCTCTGTCTGTCAGCTAGAACTTTGTAGCCCTCTTAGCCTGGGATGGCCTTGACAGGGAGAGTCAACGCCTACTTCCTAAAAAGAAAAGTTGTGTCGATGAAGGTGCTATGCCTCTATAATTAAATTTTATAGACTCTTAATGTCAGTATACTCAGTTTTCACATTGTCTAAAATACTTGTTACAAATACATAAATGTACTTCATTATGTGCTTCCTCCACCCCCCATCACCTCTTACTCATCTCCTAGTGAAGACTGAAGAACCAACATCCCAGAGACACACTCCATGCCCCTCTCCCTAATCCATCCACTCCACAGGCTGAAAAACATTTCTAATGTTCCATCACTCTTAACCTCCACCCCCCCCCCTCCCCAACCCAGCTTTTAATAAAATAATTGCCCAGTGTGAGACTCTTTCAAGCTTATGGCAATCTTACACTAAGCAGTTAAAATATACATAAACACACAAACTTCTCACAATCCCTATCACTGAACCTCACAAACAACCGCCTTCCTGTAACACATTCAAATAGACAAACACACATACACATAAACACACACACACAAACCCTCCCCCCCATCCCATCCCACCATACTCACCCCCAGATAATCCTCTGTTTCTCCTTCTGCTGGTTGAGCCAGCGTGGCCACTTGTACTGCACCAACTCGTACTCGAACCCGTACTCCTGAGCCATGTACGGGATGAAGTCCTGACACACAGACAAAACGCACACATTAGTGGTTAAGCTAAAATGATCATCAAGAAGGAGCACTAATAACCACATGTCTGTTAAAGATTATCTGTACTAGTGTGATGTTGTGCATTATGTGACTTTGATGAACTATTTATGCATGCTTGTAAGATTTTCGGTACCAGAGCGATATTGTGTGTTATGTGATATCGATGAATTATTGTGTGCTTGTTTGTAAGATTGTTTGAGTAAGTGGGAAACTGTGCATTATGTGATGTTGATAAATTATAATAAGTATGCAGATATTGTGTATTATATGATGTTGATTGATTATAATAAGTTTGTATGTGTATACTGTTCTTGACATTGTAACAAAACAAACCTCCCTACAGGAATCAAGAAAAGATTATAAATCTTTATTCAAATTTCTCTGTCAGTCAAAGAGAGGATGTCTTCATGTAAAGTAACAAGGCTGACACTCAAAGAATTCATCTAGACCATGAGATAGAGAGGAAAAGAGTGACAATGATGCCATTGCTGCTAAAAGTCAGCGCCAACATTTAGAAAAGACATTAAAGCCAGGGAAATGATCGCCCTTAATAAATAAATTTATAAGCAAGAAGATCAATTAGAATAAAAACATTTTATATATCCCACATTAGAAATTAACAGTATATAAATATTTAGAGAGGGAGAGAGAGAGAGAGAGAGAGAGAGAGAGAGAGAGAGAGAGAGAGAGAGAGAAAGAGAGAGAGAGAGACACACACAGAGAGGAGAGGGGGGAGGGAGGGAGAGAGACAGAGAGACAGACAGAGAGAGAGAGAGAGACAGACAGAGAGAGAGAGAGACAGAGAGAGAGAGAGAGAGAAAGAGAGAAAGAGAGAGAAAGAGAGAGGATTATTCCAACACAGTAACTAGTAGGGTAGACAGTAAACTCACCTTAAACGAGGGTGACAGGTAATTCTTCAGGAACCAAAACTTCACTTTCGACTGCGTGTTTTTGAGAACACTCAGCATCATGATCCTGGCGAGGAGAAGACACAGATTGATTGTAAAAAGACTGACTGATTGATTTATTGTAAATGTTTTACGGCCCTGTAGACACAACTTAGATCCTTTCGAAGGCGAGGTGCTTTGACCCTGCCTGTCAGAGCTAACTCAGGCAGAGTGAAATAATACAGCATCCTAGCAGGCAAACAGATACTCAACAAAATAACTTCCCCACATAGTAATCGAAATTCTAGTTGCACCAGCAAAAAAAACAAAAAAAAACAACCATGACACCAAAGATGCTGGGGAAAACAATGTACTTTTCAACAATGTATCACAGTGCACTATAAGAGCACCAAAACTCTATAACAATTTTCCTCTCTTTTCTCTGTCAGTAATTTACCCAGTCAACTTAAGGAATAGAATTCTATTTCTGTCTGCATATCAATACATCTAGTAGAACACCAATAATTCTTTCCTCTGAAGTGTATTCGGAAAAACTAAGCGTCAAAAATACACTGAAAAACTTAAAGATTTCACTATTTCAAAAGCAAACATTCATATTTTTTATCTCCCCCCCCCCCCCCCCCCAAACTTTCCTCTTGCTGAAAGCAAACATAAAAAGATTAAATACATTTCTTCCTCATGACCTAATACATAAATAATATCCTTAAGCTGCTGGTTTTAAGAAATCCATACTTGTAAACACCAACATGGTTGTCCCAACATACCTGAGAAATCTTTCATACAGATGTCCTGAAGCAACGGAGAAAATATTGAGAGTGGTATCCTTCTCTTCTTCTTTGTTCCCGCTTCCCGTCAACGTGCTGCTCAAAAGAGATCAGACATCCCATTGTTATTCAACTAAGAAAAAAAAAGGTTTCAAAGCACTCACGCATGCACACACACAACACATAAACAAACATATAACAAAACTCTCTAAAAGAAAGACATACAACACACACACACATACACAGAGAAACACACATGTACACCCACACACACACACATACATACGCGCGTGCGTTCGCACGTGCACAACACACACACACACGCACACACACACACAAACACACCTGGAGATAGAATCCCATAGACCGGCACCTTCATCACCGTCATCACTCAACAAGCTCTTGTCCATTTTGTCTGGCTTCTTCGCCACCTGAAGGACAAAACACAAACAAATAACTGTTGGGAAACTTGGGAAACTTGGGAACCAAGACCAAGATCTATCTATCACAGTGATTCCCATCTTATTAAAATCCACTGTGTAAAGAGAGTGAGCCAAAGAGTGCAGGGAAAAGCATTAAACATTATGTGTCAAAAAAATAATAATAATAATAATTGCATTTATATAGCGCATATCCATGCTCAAGAGCTTGCTCTATGCGCTTTACAACTATTATTACCCCAGCAGACCCTCTGAGAAGACTCAGAAACATTCTCAGCTTCCGCGGAAGCATACACGGTGGAATCAGGCACTTGTCCCATTTTGGGCATATGGACTTACAGGGAATCGTCTTACAAAGCCTATTCATTTGCCTAGCTTATGATGAATATGCTGAAAAAAATATTCATCTATCTTGAACAGAAGTTAAGATACTTGCGTTTGAAGAAGTGAGGGGAACGCCTGGTTTCACAAGTAAGATTAATGAGAAAATGGCCACCAAAGTTTGGTGATTTCCAAAGCTTGAGTGTTCTTGGGAACTGCAAATTTACATTATTTGTGCCTTTGATCAACATTTTTCAATAAAATCCACATAGAAATATGTTTTTAAATTAATATAAAAGGTGTTGAGCCCAAAATAAAAAATGAGATAAAAATTGCCTAATGAGTGGAAAAATGTTTCTAGAGAAGGAAGAGGAAGAGGGTGGAGGAGAGGGAGAGATGGAAGAAGAGAAAAAGACCACAAAGCAGCTGAAACAAACAGTCCAGGCCACCAGTGTAAAAGACTTTTCTCACCTTGACTCGGATAATCTTGCTCTTGAAACTGTTAATCGCGACGAACACTTGTGAGGAATTCAAGGGTGAATCAGTATTTTCATGACTGTTGGGGGAAAAAAGGGTGGGGGGGGGAGGAATAAAGGAATTAGTAAACTATCAAATAAGTTGAAAACTAAGAACAAATTTTAAAATCCTTTAATGTTTTTTGTGGACTAGACTGCTTTCCAAGAAGGCTTCTACCTTTGTAGGGATTTTAATAATTTTTATAAATTAAGAAATTAAAACTATATTCTTCAACATAAAATCCGAGATAATAATCATGGCTCCAAAACAAAGAGTAAAAAGTGATAGTAATCTCTAGCCAATGACATCTCATTGTTAGATGAAATATAAAAGAAAGAAAAAAAAATCAATATATGGCAAACAAAAAAGACTCTCCAAAAACAAAAGGTATTTTATATTCAACATCATCAGCGTTATTGCCATGGATAAAATCTGGACTTCCGTCTTAAATGACAAACAGTTTTTCCTTCCTGAGATTATTTTAGAATGCTATCAGGTCTGTTAGGGTAATAGTATAGATTGCAAAGCATCTACAAATGCGATAAATTAATTTCTAATTTAAAAAACAATTTTTTTTTGGGGGGGGGGGTTTTGGGGGGGGGGGTTATTCAGTAGGGTTTGCTTGTCAACATGACACAGATTACAATGACCAGAAACATATCACAATCTCACAAACACAAATCAGATCATTCAGGAGACCGGCCTCTTGACCCGTGAGTTTGGGCAAACCCGAGTCAGATACTACATCCCATCAAACAGCAGAAGTACCCAATAAAATAAATGTCCCAACTAGGTAGTTGAACATGAGTCTTCCACATTCAAGGTGAAGAGAAAAAGCATGACAAAAAAATTGCAGCTTCAGCTGGAAGGAATACAAGGGCACTACATAATCACTTTCGCTTTAAACCAGTGCTTGTCAACATTTTTATAGCCAGCGCACACTTTTGCTACAAGAAATGTTTGTACCACCCACCTACATTTATTTCCAAGCCAGGCATTAAACGATAATTGTCACTACGTGTGTGATCCCCTCCGTCTGCCAAAAATTACCAAATCTCCCACTAATGGACAATATTGCTCAGATTGGAAAGCACTGCTCTTAACAACCAATAAAAGTCACCTCTCTATATTGTAGATTTCCTTTGAGCGACCGTCTCTTAGATTCAGAGTCCACAAGCCTGGGTTTGCCTTCAGCTGGAAATAACCCTGCACAAACAGACAATAGGATGGCAAAATAAAGACAAAATTGTTCACGGCCTGGTATGGTAAGAACTTTAATGCTTCTGGCAGGATAACAAATTTGTCCTTCATTTTTTTTTTTTACAACCGAGCAAAGCAGAATATTTACCTGAATAATTTTTAGACATTTTAATTTTATAACCGGCTGAGACAAAAATTCATTGTTTAAAAAAAATCGCACTTCATTTGAATGGTGCTGCCCAAGTTCAAACAGCTATTTTTGTTTTAGTAAGTGTTTTACAGCACTTGCAAAACAATAAGTTCACAAAGTGCCAAAAGCGCGCTCATATGACCTTATGCAGTTGCGAGCGCCGTAAAACCCTATACTACTACTACTACTAAAGTGCCAAAGATTAGAGGTGTTACAAGAGGATAACAAACACAAAAAAGAAGGAGAGACACACAGACAGACACACGTACACATGTCTAAACCACTGACCAGATTAGCCATGACAATGGTGTCCACCACAGACGGCGCATTATCTGTGCCCAGCACAAACTGTAGACCTCGCGGTGGCTGCATGGTGGTCGCATCAGAGCAATGGCCTGGAGGAAGGGGGAACAGGAAAACATGATGGCTTTAACAGATGTAAAAAAGAGAGAAAAGCATGAAATTACGTCAGATGAATGCGAAAGATTGAAAAAAAAAACACCAATATGTCAGACATAAGGAAAATAAGAGAGTAAATTAGTATGCCAGGTATAAAAAAAGAGGAAATAGATAGCATATGTATAGCGCAAATTCCCGCTCAGCAGCAAGCCTTTATTCTTTACAATCTATATTATTAAAACAGCAGACCAAATTCTATTCTGAAACAAATCTAAACTTTCTGGGTAGAATACAGGGCAACAATATCCAGATATAAGGAAAAGGAAAGGACAGCAATAGGTCAAACAAAAGGAAAACAGGAAAGCCAAAGAACACTCTGCACTGTAGCGTAAAAGTACAGATTAGGACAGGGATGGATAAACTACAGCCCACTGGACAAATGCAGCCTTTCATATAGTTTTGAGCAGCTCACGAAAGCATTCAACATAATTTTTTTAATGGAAATTTAATGGAAATTAAAAATATTCACAAAAATTGTCCCATTTGTAAAAATACTTTCGCCAATAAAGTTTTTGTGGTGAAAGAAATTCAAAGGAAAATTTATTTGCAGAATATTTTAAACTTTCACCGATTTATTATAGTAATACAGTTTATATTTTGAATTTTATAAAAAGGCACCCAACGCACTATGTCCAGTTGTAATAGCTATTTTTTTTGCTGTTTATAGCCCAGTCAAATTTGCCCACGATCTTAAAAGTTTGCCCACCCCATTCCTGACGACAGATAGAGGTGTTTATTGCAAGCCTCTGCTCAAAGAGGAGCCAAAGGCAGAAGTATTGCGACAGATTTGGTGTGCTAATTTTACTGCCCTCCATAAAAAAACTACGAGTCCGTCAACGATAATTTCTAACTTTTCATACAAAACAGAGAAACATCTAAAGACATACATTTTCTACAATATGAAATCTAACCAACTCTACACAACATGGACTCAACTTCTCTCGGCTGGCCAAATCGTAAGAATGCATGTTTTCAGAATTTCAAAGGTAGTATTTCATTCTGAACTGTCCTAAGTTTTAAGTAAAGCAATAAATTGGTGCACCAAAAAAGTGCTATAAAGACATCCTGAAAATGTCTTTGAAGGACTTCAACATTAATCCCCAGACAATGGAGAGCCTAGCTCCTGACAGACCCAGCTACAAAGCAGCAATTACAGAGGATGACAAGTCATATGAGGCTTCACAAACTGGAAATGACGAAGCCAAGAGAGAAGCCTAAAAGCTGCGCACATCTAAAAGAGGAAATAAAGCTTTTAAATGCTCAAAATGTGGCAAGCTCTTTTCTACCAGAAAGGGTGTCATTGGCCATAGCAGAAGCCACAAATCATCTCAATCCTTATGTCTTCTGTTTCTCTTTTAAAAAATATTCTCTTCTACAGGTGCATAGGCCATCCTCACACACGAATGATTGAACTGTCACTTCATTGTAACTCAATAATGGGAAAAAAACAAAATTCCACAACCACTAGACAAACAACAGGAACAACAACAAATTTGACAGAAAACGATAAGTAAAAACAACGACAGAATGAAAAAGACAAAAACGTCCCTTTTGGAAAAGCTTTCTGACATCTCTCCATCCCTCATTTTCCTCTGCTTCACCTATCTCTACTCCCCCCCAAAAAAAAATCATTAAAAAATCAGAGATCAGGTTAAAAGTGCAATATGAATGAACCAAAATTCAGTGATTAAGTAATACCTAGAAAGTTCCATACCTTCCATTAAGATGTACTCCAATTCAAAGTCCGCACTGACACTCTTCTCAACCTGGACAGAAGAAAAATGAATGGAAAACATTAGCAACAGTACACTGTAGATGAAAAATACCAACACAGGGAAATAAAAAATGTAAGATAAATTAAATTTAAGCAATCTTAGATAAAGTAAACTAAAAACTTAAGCAAAGTTACAAAAAATGTTACCTCAACGATCACATTAAACAAATTATACATTCCAGTAAAATCAGTTTCATTATGCTGTGACAAATGCAATATATTTTAAAAATTGAAGGAATAAATCACTGCTTTATTTGCCGTTATAAAAAATGCCACTTCCTTAATGATCTAAATCCTGTCAAAGAAAGCATAAAACAATTGCAACCAATCCTCTTCATCCATGATCATGCAAATATCACAGAACGTATTGCATTTAGCATCCTTGTGGAGCCGTTAGATCAGTTTGTATCACGTTGGATTATGGCGCAAAGCACTTTGGTTCAAATTCGATTACCATCATAGTTACCCGGTCATGCGACACTCACTTCTTCCAGGAGAATGTTGTCCAGGTCATATGGGGAAGTGACCGCTCCCACCATCCAGCTCTCTGGGGTGTCCATACTGAGGGTCAACAAAGACTTCTGCGGTAGGTCAAGGAACCGCGCCGACGGGCCCTTAGACAGTGAACCTTGACCGTCGAAGGTGATCTCGGGCTCCAGAACAAACCGATAAAAGCTGAACAGAGGAAAATAATGAGTTTGAGTAAATAAAATGTCAGTACTTTAATCCAAACAGCACCAACAGGCCTTTACATAGCAAGACTTGGCTGTGCAAGGTGCTCTTCAGCTCCAAGACAAACAGGTAAAAGCTGTGAGAAGGAAAGAATACTTGCGATAAGTTTGAATAAAGAGTAGCACATCGACAAGAGATAGGTTGTTTAGTGTAGGGAAAAAGCAAGATAGATGAAAACAGCAAAGAGAAATAAAATAGAACCCACTTTTTGAAAAGAAGGAAACAAAATATAACACTTTTATTCATTGCCTAGGGGAAATTTGAGTAAAAACAGCACATGCAGTGAATACAGAAAATAATTCAGAGGATTCTCAATGCTATTGTCACAGAAATCACAATATTACATGAATACAGATATTTAAAAAACTAGCAGTTGTGCACCCCAAACCTGAACAAAATCAGTCAGTGAAGATCTGCAGAGTACTGACAGCGAGATTTAACAGTCAAAGAACAAATCAGACAAAAACTGGGAGATCAAGTTGAATTTTATTGCACTGACTATCCATCCCAGGTAACACAATCAACTTCAAGCAATAACATCTTAAGTCTCTGATTGACTGACTGTAACTATTGTAAACTGTTTATGCCCTCATCAATATAACTTACATCGGTTAAGAGGCAGACTGCTCTGACTCTGCCTGTAAAAGCCTACCTCGGTTGAGAGAGATACAGCATCCCAGCAGACCGGCAGACTCTCTTAGTAATATAACTTTCCCACATGGGAATCAAACTTGTGTCCTCTACATATATAATGGTGAAGGACCACACCCTTAAACCACAGACACCATAAATCTTTAGGTAAAACATATACTCCCAATAATTTGAAAAAACAACTAACTTTTTGAGTGGCATCTCTGACAGCTTCTCTCTAGGGTTCAGGTAGATCCTGATGTCCACATTGGCAATTTGTTGTAGAACCTGCCAGAAAACAAAGGAGAAGATAGAAGAACATCTCAAATAACTTCACCGATTAAAAGAATTCAGGCTTACAAATCAAAGAATGGAGTGCAAGGACACGACAATGGTGAAAGCTCTTCAGACAAAATGAAGAAAACAATCAGGAATCAAGACAAATTTTAAAGATTATGATTCTCTTATTTTTGTTTTTTCTAGGAAAGTATGATGATATTTCTCAAGATTGCTGATCAAATAGGATGTTACAACTTTTATTTTGTTTTAAATTGATTGGACATTTCATTCATGGCACTAGGAGCTTGAAAAATAGGCAGACCTCTTTTTCCATCAGATTTTAGAGATTCACATCTCGGGTAACAATGTCATTTTTGAAAGGAGATTAATGGATCAGAATGTTTCTTTATTTTTTATGCCTGAAGACATGAGAACTTGTGATGACTGCTCTTCTGAGTTAGAGGGGTTTCCAGTTATGCCAGACCGTTGTAAATGTGACAGACAGAAAGTGGTTTTAATAATAATACTTTACTTTTACCAGAGACAATACTGCTGCAACTATAAGGATAGCAAGTCTTACCATGAGAATAGGGGTCATCTTCTGTGCCTCTCTGGACACTGGGTCCAAAATGGCCTCCACTGTGAATGCTGGGATGCTGCTGTCTGCAGGAATCTTCACCACACTGGGTTATATAGGATAACATAGTTTTAACAATAATAATAATATAATAATAATAATAATAATAATAATAATAATAATAATTGTTGTTGTTGTAATGATAATAATAATAGTATTATCATTATTATTGTGTTGTTATTATTTTATTTATAAAAGTCCACCGGCAAGGGAGCTCGTTGCCAATGCCTGTACTGTTCATTTCTTGCAAGATCATGGTGAGAATAGTGAATATTGGCGAGTTATGACTACTTCTAAGAGGCATGTTTTATAGCTCTTGATGGCTCCACTTATCTCCCTGTCTCGTAATGATCAATTTCAAAGTATTGCTGTATTTACCAATTCTTTTATTGAATATATCATTGGTGTTGCAAGCATTAAGTCTGTTTGAGTGACAAAAAAACCTAGTTTTTTGTGTTGTTCCTATCAGGAATCACGAAAAGCAAGGAAGCTGTAAGTCTTGACCCTAGCTTTAAACTGCATTTTGGTGAAGTTGAAAGATGCATCTTTGATGGAGCTTTGGGAGGGTGTAAAAATACCCCAAAAATCTTTGATATTTGGGACTTGTGTGGATTGCCTGCGACAGTGACGAATTGCTCTTAATTTTAGGACGGGATTAGAGAAAACGAGAGAAAACCCACAATCCGTGGAAATCACATGGCATTCGAATGCGTCTGCAAAACTTCGAATATCTGTGAAAGACGAATAAAATCGGGGATTTTGAAAAGTAGAGTCGAATGGGCGCGGCTCTGTTCAGATTCTAAGCAGGGAAAACGATACACACAAACTATGTGGTTAAACTTTAAACAGCAGACTGTACGTCGGCGGGGCTGCTGTGGACGTGTTTAATCATCTTCACATTCAGCCCAGATATTCAGCAGGATAAGTTTTTGTGGATGTCGATCAGGACGTAGAGGTGGCTTGACCAGCGGTCAGTCTACCATGAGGCAAAGGTGCCGTCACTATCTAGGGGAACCAGGTAAGAGGGTAGGGTGTATCTTGTGCCAGCTCGTGAAATGTTAGATAAGAAACAGTACAAACTGCTGCGATTAGCCGAGTGTATTTGTTTTGAACAAGAAAGCGTTCCGGTCAAATGAAGTTCAGTCTACACTAAGAGTATTGTAGGCCTGTAGACAATACTTTGTTTAGGTAAGAATTTTCCGGCACTTGCAACACAATACGGTCATATTATAAATGACGAAGATTAGAGGTTTTACAAGAAAGTACCAAACAAACAAACAAAAAAACAAACAAACAAACAAATTAACAAAAATAAATGGGAGGAGAGATAAGGGTGAAAAATGTTTGATAAAAAAGTAGGAACTAACCACACCAGACACCATCAACCAGCCCCAAGCGAGGTGGAGGGTGGTGGAGGATACTTCTTTGACACGTTTTCTTAACCATAATTAGCTTAGTGCAAAGAAGTTTTTCATCCATTCTTACGTAATTATTGTGAAGTAAAGTATCAATAGCACCAGCCTGCTTTATTGATCTCGAATTAATCGTTAGACTTAAACAAAAAGACGTGTATCTGAAAGTTATGGATTTTCTTGAAATAATCATTGTTTAGCTTGCTCTCCGTTGGACGAAATAATACCCGATCTGGAACTGCTTTGTTTTTTCGCCCCTGAAAGTGCCAGACCTACCCGTCAATTTGAATGTCAGTTTGAAGCAATTCACGCTGTGAGTTTTGATGATGTGCATTGTTTATTTTGAATCAATAGAAGTACATGTCAGAAATACTCCTGCAGAAAAGATATTCTCAAAATAAAACAGGAGAAGGCGTAGGATCAAACTACTTAATGATTGTGGAGCCCTTCTTGTGATCTTTGTAAGTTTGAATACTGGCAGAACTCGCTCTTATAATCCAGAAACAGTCTCATTCTTAGATTCTATAGAAATACTTTTATCACTATAAAAGATAACATGTTCGGCTTAATGACGGTGGACCCCTTCTTGTGCTATTTGTAAGCTTGAACACTGTTAAAACTCGCTCTCAGTTCGCTCGACAGAATTGATTGGTTGTCTATTTTAAACCAGAAAGAGTCTCATTCTTTGAGTCTCTAGAAACACTTCTGTCACGATAACTGGTATAATACTGCCAAACGATCGTGGACCCCTTTTAGTGCTCTTTGTAAGCTTGGGGATTCGTTAAAGTATCCTCAGAATTGATTAGATATATATTTTTAACCAGAAAGAGCCTCATTCTTAGATAGAAACACGTCTGTCACCATAAATGGTATCATACTGCCAAACGATTCATGAGAAGCTCTACTTGTGGGTTTGGTTTTTCTTGTTTTTCAGGGGGGGGGGGGGTTGGTAAGCTTGAATACTGTTAGAACTCGCTCTTGCTATCCTCAAAATTGATTGGTTGTCTGTTTTAGACTAGAAAGAGTCTCATTCTTAGATTCTATTGCAACACTTTTGTTACAAAAGGGTTATCATACGGCTAAAAGGTTATGGACATCTTCATGTGCTTTGTGTAAGTTTGAATACTTTTAAAATGTTAAAACTCGTTCTAACTTCCATCAAAATTAATTGGTTGTCTGTTTTAGACCAGAATTAAAGCGCCTCATTCTTAGGTAGAAACACTTCTGTCTCTGTAAATGGTATCATATACTGCTAAATGATTACAAGTCCCTTCGTGTGCTTTTTGTAAACTTATTGCAAGTTCGAATACTGTCAGAACTTTCTCTAAGTACCCTCAGAATTAATTAGCCCGTACATGTTTTGAACCAGAAAGAGCCTCATTCTTAAATAGAAACACTTTTGTCATTATAAAGGGTATCATGTAACTGCTAAACGATTATGGACCCCTGCTTGTGCTCTTTGTAAGTTTGAATATATTTAAAATGTTAAAACTCGCTATAAGTTCCTTCAGAATTGATTAGTTATCTATTACATGATATTTGGCAACTTAGAAACACATGTGTCACTTTTCCCAAAAAACTACGACAGCTACAGAGTTGAAAGTCGGCTAGTACCTGCTATAAGATAGAGAGGTCCCCATGACGGAGCCCGATTTTTATTATTTATTCATTTCCTGAATTTAGAAAAAAATATATTTGACAAAAAGTTCCCGTCCTTCTTTGGCCTTTGTGATTATTCCACTGAGAAACGAAACAAATCTGCGCCGCTGTCCTTCAGAGTGGAAGCAGAGACACTAAAATATAGAGACAGGAAACGAGGCCTCGCGGTCCGTGACAACAGTGCATTTGCGAACGTGACCGCTGA